GAAAAAAAAAAAAAAAAAAAAGAAGTTAATAGTTATCAATTCGGTTAGACTCTTTTAATCTCCTAACCCTAGACACCCCTTCAGCACATATAAATAAACCCTCTCCACACGCAACGCCTCCTCAAACAAGACCCTAAAATAGCTCATTTTTCCTATCTACATTACGACTAAAGTTCAACATGGCAAATCTTCCCATCAAGAACTTTAACCTTCTCAGGTACGTTTTGGCTCCATCATCTCATTTTCGATCCTACTCTTAAACTGCGTATGGTTTTCTTCTTGATGATCATAAATCATGAGAAAGTTGACTGTTTTGTTTTGTTTTGTTTTTATTTATTTTTTCTGTAATTAATGTTTCCAGCAGACGATCTTTCGTGGTCACAGCGGAGCATGAGAAGGTGCATGCTGCAGCATCGGTAATGTCGAAGGCGACAGAAACAGATTCGAGAGTGGAAGCTCCACGAGGGAAGAAGGAAAATTTCTGGATGCCAGATCCAAAGACGGGCAACTTCATTCCGGAGACACACTTCGGGGAGATTGATGTTGCTGAGCTGAGGGAGAAGAAACTTTCTAAGAAACAAGAGCAGTGAACCACACTATATACGGCTCCTGTTTCTGTTAACTTACTAGTAAGTTTACCAGCTCACTTGCTTATAAATAATCTTCGAAGATACAGGTTTTCGAAGCCTTGATAAGTGAGGGTTCATAATAGCTGGATATATATTACTCTTAAACCATGTAGCTGTCATCTAGTATCGTTGAAGTACCAAAGTATCAGTTAAATAAAGACATACTTTTATCTTAATTAATACTTTACTACCCAACTTTTTTTTTTTTTATTATTTTGAATTACACAATAAAAAGTTATCCTTTTTCACCCACTCCACTCCCATACAACAAAAATAGAACCTCTTACCTCAATTACAAGAAGATAACCACCAACCTATATACAATTTTATAATACAAAATTTGTGCTGTAATGCTAATATGTGATTATCACAGGTTTTTCTCGTAAGGTAAGTACAAAAAGAGATCATCAACCATGTGATCGTGTGGTTAAATTATCTATATTATTAGTCATAATTCTATAAATTCAATCCCAAGTCTCTAGCTATCCAAAAGAATTAAGAAAGGAGATTAACCACTGAACTATAAGAGTGAAAAGCAGCCATATAAGACTGTAAGATTCCATTAAAAATAATAGTAATAATAATGTGTGTGGCTCAATTTCCCGATTTAAATATCCATCGTTTGCTCCACCTGCTTATCTTGCAAGGCACGTGTCTGCTCACTTTGCAGTTTAGTTTAAGCCAACAAACAAGAAATATAATGGCCAAAAATAAAGAGACTATCATTAGCTTAGGGGCATAGTTTGATTTTATACATCATATTGTCTTTTTAAGAAACAAACACACTGAAAATTTAAGGAGAAAAAAAAAACTGCATTCAAGCACATGACTAAAGGTATAGCTGAATAAGCTCATCACTGACTACCGAAGGAGTAAGAACACCCAAATCTGTAAAGAGTAGAGTAAGATACTGTGGAGGAGTATAATCCCGAGCAGATTTTTCAACCTCGACTTTTGCTGGGATGGGCACACCAAAATCGACGGGGTGTAAGGCAGGAGCCATATCCTTTTGGTCCAATGGATAAAGACGGGCAAACTGCAACCAGGCAAACCGTAAGCAACTATACTGCATGTTCTAAACTCTCAACTCTTCCTAAATCCACTCAATATATCTATTAGATTTTTCTTTAAATGATGGTACCCCTTTAACATACATTATTTTATAAATGAAAGACTAAAGAAAGCTTTATATACCTTGTAGCTTTCAGCAGCCACATAGACTGGTTTGTTCATACTGTGTGCGACCAATGCAACCTGGTACGTCCCCATCATATTAATTATTCCCCCACTTTCAACCACTCCATCAGCTCCCACAAATACCATGTCCACCTCATCCATGCTATATGCCACAGCAGAATCCATTAGGAGCTTCACAGGAACATCAAGTTTGGCCAGCTCATCGGATAATCGTAATCCTGTTCTGTCTGGTCTTCCCTCTACATTTTAAAGCACAAAAGATTTAAGATGAACTTCGTTGCAAATACATCTTCTAAATGGATATAAAAATGAAAATTCATCAGAATCAAAATAAACACACAACTGTGCAAATGAAGGGGCACTGTTACAGAAAAATCTTTCTCCAGGAGAACACTATACAGATTATCTACTGTATTTGTTCCCAAGTAGAAAATAGAAATGCCTAAAAATTTGGTTCTTTGAAAGTTGATAAAAAAAATGCAGCCAACAATACAAAACGATCTAATTCAGCATCATTGATGGTTCTGGTCACAGGTGGGTTCAAGCCGCCCATGCAAAAAATATAGGAAATGATTAGACAACTATTTTGATGAGATTAGATTCAATTATGTCCAGTTCAGCCAGAAGGTAATGATATGATGCCGTATAATTGATGTTGCTAGTCAAAGACAGGTTTAAGCAGGCCAAGCAAGAAAAGAGAAAAATAAAATAAAATAAAATAAAATAAAATGACTAGACAACTATTTAGATGATATGTCAGGTTCAACCCTGACCAATTCAGCCACTTAAAAAGGAACATGATAGGTTGTTTAGAAGCAGAACCTGTGCAGAAAACCCGAAATAGTTTCTTATTTTGAGCTGCTGTCTTAAGTACTTCTAAAACAACTCTGGAGAAACCATGTACCAAAATGGTACAACCATCAAATATAAAATCTTGACTTAGCATTGCAATGATCCTGCGTGCCTGTGATATGTGAGAACACTTTCTTTTAGCCTCAATTTTCACATTACGATACACATAAATGTTATGCAGTTAAACAGTTACTCTGGAAGTGTTGAAGATTATATAAAATACCTTATAAGATATTTCCCCAAACTTCTCTGCACGTTCAATAAGGCGACACTTAGCTGAATTGAAGTCTTCATATTCTAAGGCTGATGTCCTGGTCACATAACGGATAAAGAGATCGCAGCCAGCAGTCAAAGAGATAGAGGTTGTGTCCCATGACTGGAATCAAACATATGGTTAATTATTACTAGTACAAAATCCAGAAAATCAGTTTTCAACTTTCAATTATTTTTACCGAGAAATCACTGATTCTAAGATGTACTTCACTTTCAAGTAAAAATTAATAAAGGCAAACCAGAGAGAAAGAAGAATGCAAAGTCCACGGCATGCACATGTACCAGGCTGTTGGTTTATATAAAATGGAAATCTATGAAGCCCCTAAATCATTTCATACAGCCAAGGAACCAGAGAAGATACCTATTTTACAAGGGAAACACAAACAGAGACTAGAAAATGAACCCAGAAGAGCCATGTTACTTATCATTTAGCCAATACCACTCTCACTAAATATCTTGAACAAGACATTCACCTATACAAACTACCATAGCCTTGCAAACTGAAGACATGCAGCAACATGTTTCACTTTTGCCGCTAGTTCAGTGCCCCAATAAGCCAATACAAACTGGGCTTAACAAAACACTGCATATCCAAGCATCGGAACTTATAGTCCAATCCTCATTTTTGTTACTCATCCTAAGATCATTATCACTTGTCAGATACTTTAAAATACATCCAAGTTTCCTGACACACTATCCATGTATGCAACCCTATCCCGTGAATGGCACAGAGGAACATGAATATACATTTATTCCAACAAATCTCTAATTAAACTCCTTTGGCCATAAGATTAAACAAGAGTAACAACAACTATTCAATTTCTAATCAACAAAATAAACAGTAAGGAACTAAAATTCATTCATCAATAGACAATGTCATAAGATCACATAACTCAACCAGAGCTGAACTGTGGCATGTTATTAAGCCTCAAAACAGTATATACGAAAAAACTAATATGGTAACAATCAATCAAGCAAATATGCGAGGAAACTAAAGCACCCACTTTAAGCGAATCCGATGCTTTTTTCAGCTCAATCTCGAGTTCCATCATGGTCGTAGCCTGGCTAGCCCTGATAACCGCCGCAAGCGCGCGAATAGCTGCAACAGCCTCCGCCAGATCAGGCTGCTTCCTCCAGCTGTTGAACTCGTCGATCACGCTAAACCGCTTACCCGCACCGCCAGCAGCCGACGCTGCCCTGGCGTCATTTCCCAGCAATTTATCTTCGGGTTGACGGCCAACCGCAGCCTGGGCCTGGGCCAGCCAGTCACTGGTCAGGACACCGTGGTGGGCCGCGCGCGTCTGGTAGTAAGCAGAGATGTTGGCGTCAGGGTTAGGGTTTTGGAGAGTGTCTGCCATGGAAGGTGGAGGAGAGGAGACGGAGGTGGCTTCGGGATTTAGCGATGCGGTGTCGTTTTGCTGTTGTCTATCGAGAATGAAAGAGGGCGATCTCCACCACATCTAATGGGCAGTTTCAGGGTGTGAGATTTAAAAGGAGTGTCACTTTCTCGGGAAAATTACACGGGGGAAAAAGCAAATCGCCGGCTGCCGGAGGAGATTCCGACTATCTCTGTCTTTACGTGAAAAATTGACGATTAGGAGACCTATGGCGACCAGCACCAGTAGCTTTATTTTGTTGGTGTAATATGGGAATCCTAAACGACGTCGTAGGACTCGAAAGTCAAGAACAACCGTTAATTGATGTAATACATGCTGCATCTGACTGGACAAATTTGGATATTATTTAACAACCTTCCTCTCGCTACTTTAATTTCTTAATTTTTATATTTTTAATTATTTTAAAAATATATAAAATATTAATTAAAATAAATATGTTAAAAGATAGAAAAAAAAAAAAAAAAAAGCGACTGCTGCAATTTCATGCCAATTCTTCTAATCTAAGCCTTAATCTTTAACCATTAGATAGTAATAATGTTGGAGTGATATGAATAGGTGTGTGAAGATGAGTTGCGTTAAATAACATATAAAGATTTTCTACCGATAAAAAATAAAGTGTTAAAATATAATATATATACAAAAGACTTATAAACTTAATAAGCGTATGTTTGTGCTCTCCACTAACCTCTTAGACTCTCCCAATAAATGAGGGTGTGTTGGGTGTAATTTTTTAAATGTTTTAATTTTTTACTATTATTTATATTTCATAAATTTAAATTTTTTTAAAAAATTTACATTTTAAATATTTTTTAACTTTAAAAGGATAGTAGACAATAATAGATCAAAAATTTTAATTTTAAATTTTTCATAAATTTTTTTTATTCATTTTTTCTTATCTTTAAAAGTAACTTTTAAATTTTTTTTTTAATAAAAATTTAAACATATCACTCATAAACAATACAAAAAAAGCAAAAACTCCAATAAACTATACCAAACAAGCCCTAAGTCCTCTGGTGTGACATCGAGAGCTACCGTTTTTTAGATTCTAGATTACAAAATTGCAACCCCTCTATATTTTTATCATAAGTTAACAAATACTCTTACTAGTTAACAAAAATGATATAGTTTTAATGTTGCGTAGGATTATAATTTTATAACCATAATATAGTATTAAACAAGTGTATCAATATTACATGTAACTCCCAAATTAAAAAAAAAAATCAGTTATAGAATAATATTTCATAATTGTAAAATTATAATGACACAATTTATTTTTGTATAGCTAAATGATATAACTTATTAGATGTATAAAAAAATTTTCGAAAATTTTTTTAAGGTCAAAACCTCTATTTGCACCTTTCATTTATTTTATTTTCATGATCAACACTTTCCAAAATTTTTCTTTCTTATTCACACATTTCACTTTTCAAAACCTGTGAAAAACTCAATATTTTAACGGGTTATCATGGCACCGTTAAAGAAAACAATACGTGGCATCCAAATTGTGACGTGGACGTTATGTAACGTGATTAATCCAATGTGGACGATTTTTTTGATGATGTGGCACGATGAGATGGTATGATTTTTTATGAATACCTCCCAACCAAGAAAAAAAAAAAGAACAAGAAATTAAATGAATTAAAACATAATTAATTTTAATTTTTTTGCCTTCTTCTTTCTCCTCATCCTCGACACCATCTTCATCGTCCTCTTCATCATCCTCCTGGGTTCTGCAAGGAACCCAGGTTCTGGGATTCCATGAACCCAAAGCTGGGTTCCTTGTGGAAGCCAGCCTCCATGGAAGATCAAAAAAGATTTCACCCATGGTTCTAATGAAGGTTGATTCAGATTGAAAAAAAAAAAAAAAACAATCTTTTAATTCATTTACAAGAAAAGTTGAGAACCAATTAAAGAATCAAATCATCATCTTATTATTTTATCAAAACCAGAAATAATCACAGAAAAGAAAGGCGACAGAAAGGTACAAACTGGGTTCCTCAAACTAGGTTCCCAAACTAGGTTCCTCATGAACCCAGCTCTGTGGAGCCCAGAACTGGGTTCGTGAGGAACCTAGAGCTAGGTTCGGCAAAAAAAACCTAGTCACAAGCCCCCCCTTAAACTCCGATCTTCATCATCCCATCATCACCAATCATCACTCTCATCACCATCACCCTAATCAATCCCCAAGCAATAAAAAAAAAAAAGTCTTCTTTTCTCAGCTTCTCTCTAGCCCCCCCTCAGATTTCCATCTTCCCACCATCTTTTCCGATCATTACTCTCATCACCTTCACCAATCATCAAACAGCCACCATAAAATATCAAAAACAAAAGAACAAAAATTCATAAAAATCACTTCCAAAATCTGTAAAAAAAAAAAAAAATTCAAACTCCTCCATCTCTTTCTTCGACGTTGATCTTGATGTCGAAATCGAACGCGTGAATCCTTTGAATCTTGGAATCCAAGGGTTAAGGCGATTGGGTTTGTGGAACAGAGTTTCTGGGTTCCTTGTGGAACTTAGATCTAAGTTCCACGAGGAACCCAGGAGGATGATGTCTTGGATTCCGTAAGGAACCCAAAAGGATGATGAAGAGATGTTGAAGATGATGCCGAGGATGAGGAGAAAGAAGAAGATGAGAAAATTAAAGTTAAATATATTTTAATTCATTTAATTCCATGTTCTAGTTTTTTTTTTTTTTGGGAGGCATTCACAAAAAATTATGCCACATCATTAAAAAAGCATCTACATTAGATTAAAAAGTAACAACGTTGGATTAATAATGTCACATAACATACATGTCAATTTTTAGGTGCCACGTAGTGCATTTTTTAACGGGTATTAATGATGCTGTGATGATCCGTTAAAATATTAAATTTTTTACGAGTTTTGAAAAGTGAAGGGTGTGAATAAGGAAAAAAAATTTTGGAAAGTGTTGACTACGGAAATAAAATAAATAGAAGATACAAATAGGGGCTTTGGCTTTTTAAAAAAAAAAAAAAGAAGAAGAAGAAGAAAGAAAGGGGACAAGCAAGCAGCACCTTTTTATAACCAAAAAGACAAAAGAAGATAAAGGGCAATGGAGTACTCTACATTACCATACCACATACCAATACCATACCATACCATATCTGTTTGATAAATCCTTTTTATTTCCAAATTTGAGGTATTACCTAACTTCTAGAAGAAAAATTCAATTTTCAATAAAAATATTTCAAGTAAAACTAGGTCATGCCTTGAAGTAGCCCTGGTAATGAACTATTCCTCCAATTACTTTACCAAGACAGATTAGCAGGTATGGACCACCCTACCATGGCATGGCAGTGCCCACCCCTACCTCTTCTCATGAGTAATAAAAGGGGCATACATTCTTCTTATTCTTATGACCCCTTCCCCTTAGGCCTTCCTCCCTCCTCTTAAGCGAAGTTCCCACATCCCTAAACACCTTTCTTTCACGATAGGCTTTCCTCCATCCTCCGAAGCAAAGCTCCTATATCTCTAAACACTTTCTTCCACGATCTCCTCTTCCAACCTTTTCTTCTAAGTGCACGAAAAACGATTCCAGAGCCACATTTCCCTCCATGTTTTATACTAGTCACTCAAAGAATTGAATATACAAGCATCGTGAAATTTATAATCAAAGTTTTAATTTTAACATCTGAAAAAATCATTTTTTATTACATCAGTTTAGTACGCAAGTATATCTCTAAAATCACTTAATCAAAAATTAGTCTCAAAACATATAAAAATGATTCTAAAAATACTTTAATGATAAAAAAAAGTAAATAAATAAAATTGCATTAGTGTTATTGTGAAAGTAAATTCCTCCTTAAGCAAGGGACGGAATAGAAAAAATGCACTCATCAAAAAGTCATACTTTCAAACACAAAATCTATGTCTTTGCACTTTTTTAATAAGTAATTCTGTATCTTCGCTTGTAGGATACATCTTATTATTATAAAAAAAATGATTTATAGTAGTAATAATTTAAATTTATAGAGAATAAACAAAAAAAAGAAGAAGTAATTTTAAAACACAAACCTTAATTCATTATATCAACAAACAATTAGATTTGATTCTTTATTAAAAAAAGAAGAAGATAATTATAGTACTTAATTAGAAAATTTGTACGCACCTCCCTTTCTCTTTGCCGCGATATAAAGGGAACAAAATCGGTAAGAAACGAATTATTGTGAATAATTTCAATAATTAAACAATTTTAAAATGTAACAGAGGAAAAAGATTACATTAAATACGAAAAGGAGAAGAGCGACCTTGACAAATTTTGCAGAAACAGAGATAGGCGGACAGATTATTAATGATCGTTTTCCACATGCGAAATGCGGAAGATTACAGGCGATTTTCGATAAATGTGATCAATCGGAGAGATGGGTTTGTTTGAGTTTTGGAGAATGAGGAGCTGATGATCGTCGTCGAGAATGAAGAATTCCGTTCTGGATTGCGAGTTTTCTTCCGCCGGGATACGCGGCGACAATCTGGCGTTTACCGCGTTGGAGATAGTTTTGATATATTGTGATGACGTTGATTGCCTTTTTTTGAGGTAAACGTGTTACAATAAATTAATTTCCTTTTTTTTTTTTATCTAAAGATGAGAATTGGGTTTTTGTTATAGTGGAGAAATCATGAGCCTTTTGGAGATTTTAATGGATTCCTTGGATTTGCAGTGTAGAAGTTGATGGAATTTACAGATGGGTATGAGTTGTGTCATGTATAGCAGCGTGTGTGTTGATTTGGATGATTGTGTAAAAAGGTTTTAGGACTTGGATTAGTTGTTTCTCGGTGATTTAAGCTGCATTTTGATTCAAGGATTTGCAGAGAGAGTTATTTTCAGATGAATGTGGTAATCTTTGGGATTCATCACTTCAATTGTTCAGGATTTTGAAAGGTTTAATTAAATTGCTTGAAGTTTATAGCTATTCCTTTGGACGGAGATTGAGGTTGATGACTAGGATGGTGCTTTGTTAGAATGAAAGATTGCCCTTGGCTGGATAGTTGTTTTGGAATTTTATCTTTGAGGGGTTTTGGATTGGAGCAGAAAGGATTGCAGGTGTTTGTACATAGAAATTTCAAGAATTGTTGTTTCTCTTGATGGGATGGTGTAACCCCTGAATTTGTTAGGATTTGATATTTAGGTTATTGTTTGTTAAGAGCAGCAAATGAGGAGAGCATAATGATTGAGGGCTGCTGTATTGGTTCTAGATGGATGCCCCCAGAAAGACATTCTCTGAGTTAGTTGCTCTAGTAAAGTCATGGCTCCCTTGGACATCAGAGCCTTCTAATGTGTCAAGGGATTTCTGGATGCCCGACCAGAGCTGTATGGTATGCTATAACTGTGATTCCCAGTTCACAATATTTAATCGTAGACACCATTGCCGACTCTGTGGCCTAGTTTTCTGTTCCAAGTGTGCAGCAAACTCAGTTCCTGCACCATCTGCTGTCAAAGGGCCTCCTTATGAAGACTGGGAGAGGATTCGGGTATGTAATTATTGTTTCGAGCAAAGGGAGCAGAGTACAGCTACTCCTGATAATGGAGAACAGGTTTATAACCTGGGTCTTAGTACTTCACCATCAGCCACTAGTTACCTCAGCACTAAATCTAGTGGAACTGCCATCAGTAGCTGTTTAACTAATGATTCAGTGCCATACACAGTTGGGAATTATCAACAAGTTCAACAGAGTTCTTACCTCAGCCATCAATTATCCGCAATGAGTACAACAAGCACAGATAGGCAAGGTGAAGCTTTACCAAGAAGGAGTGATGACCTTGTCATGGACACAGGGAATCCTTCAAGCCAAGCTGCATTTACACTGAACAAGTCTGATAATCATTCCCTTTTACTTTCTTTCTATTAAGATTTCCTCTTTCATGCACTAGAATTCTCCATCAAGCTAACAATCAAGCTTATATTTTCTATATTTGTTTAAGTCATTTTTTTTTTCTCTTGGCCAAAGTTTAAGTCATTGTTAGCACTGCTTTTTCATTGGTTTTTATAGCAGTTGTATGATAACAATTTATCTAGTAGGTATGCTATGGATTATTATTATTATTATTATTATTATTATTTTAAAAGAAGGGGAAAAAACCAGCTTTTATTACAAACTGTGGGGGGCTTTGGTAACTGGTTGCTTGCTTTTTGCCATCAGGAGTGACGATGAGGATGATGGGTACAGTGTAGATCTTTCTGATTCTGAGACAAAGCATTTCCCTCCAGATAATGACTACTTTGGTCAAGTTGACTTGGATGAGATGAGCATTGATGATGGATCACAGAAGTTGTATCATGATGGCGAAAATGTGAGCACAAAGAGTCTAGGCAATTCTCCATCAAATCACAGCTTTGCCTCTCCTTCTTTAGAAGGAACCCCAGAGCTCAGAAAGAATGAGCATGATGCTGGTGATGAATGTAAGGCATCTTCCTCTCTATATGCTGCAGAGAATGTTGAGGCTGAACCTGTGGATTTTGAGAATAATGGACTTCTCTGGCTCCCACCTGAACCAGAAAATGAAGAAGATGAGAAGGAAGATGCTCTGTTAGATGATGATGATGATGAGGATGGGGATGCTACAGGAGAATGGGGACATCTACGTAACTCAAGGAGCTCTGGAAGCGGGGAATATCGAGATAGGGACAGGTCAATTGAGGAGCAAAAGAAAGCAATGAAGAATATAGTTGATGGGCACTTTAAGGCTCTTGTAGCTCAGCTCTTACAAGTTGAGAACCTTCCTGTGGGTGGTGATAATGGTGAAGAGGGATGGTTGGAGACCATCACGTCCCTTTCATGGGAGGCTGCAACACTGTTGAAGCCAGACATGAGCAAAGGTGGAGGGATGGACCCTGGTGGATATGTTAAAGTCAAATGCATAGCTTCTGGACACCATTCTGAGAGGTAAATGTTACACAGCATGCTTGATGTTTATATATAACCTAACTGCTGCAGCTCCCTCTTCTAATAAATGTGTAAATTTTGGTGGTTAAACATCATAGTGATGGCCCGCAAAATGATATCTAAACTTAGGATGATCATATCTCCTGTTCCATACATGACTTCCTGTGGGGGAGTGGTTCCTCATCCTTTGATCCACATTCATGAAGAGGTTACCTGAAGAACTACAACAATTAAATCAGCAGCACTTGAATAATTTCTTATGCTTCCTCTCTATACCTTCTTAATCTGAGAACTCAAATTAGCA